GGCAACAAATATTCTTCCAGCCATTTAAGTTGTTCTTTATTTCCTTAAGGAGCACTTTGTAATTGAATATGTAAAAATCTTTTGTTGCTTTGGTAAGCCAATTTTTAGATGGTTTGTGTATTTTGTATTATTTGGAATGAGATTTCCCCATTCTCTTGTTGGCCTCTTTGATTTTTATTTTTATGTAGAAATAATGCAGTTGGTTTTTAAGGGTTGATTTTTGTAGCTTGCAACTTTTCTGAAGCTGTTACTTAATTCAGTATCTTTGCTGAACCCATATGATTTTCTAAGTATAGAAGCATAAAGTTAGCAACTAAGGATACTTTTATTTCCTCTTTACCTATTTTTGTGACTTTAATTTCTCTTGTCTTATTGTTAACATTTTCACAATTAGGGGGGAAAGTGGGCATCCTTACCTTATTCCCACATTTATTGTAAAATGTTCTACTGTATCTCCATTGCATGCCATATCTTCATTTTGTCATGGGTTTTCCCTAATTTGTTGAGGTAATCATGTGATTTTGGATGGTTTTCTTTTTAACGATTATGTTGCTTATTTTCCTAATGTTGAATCATCCTTGCATCCCTGGTAATAATGGTATAATAAAAACTTGGTCATAATGCATAATGAATGATTTCTTGGAAACACTACTGTTTGACAGGTTGATCTGAATTAATGATATTGGTTAAGTGACTTGCCCAGGATTGCACAGCTAGTAAGTATTTGAGGCCAGATTTCAGCTCAGGTCTTCTGACTCCAGGGATAGTCCTTTACCTTATTGCACCACCTAGGGGCCACATTTCCTTTACAACTAGTCATATTAATTTTTGTCTCCTTTTGTTTTTGTAGTTGGTCTTCTGTCACTGTAGGGCAACCTGAACTGAGTCAAAGTAGAAATTTTGAAAATTAAGGAAGAGATGAACAAAAGTAAAAAAAAAAAATGAAAATGAAGAAATGATTGACTTAATAAATAGAATCAGGAGCTTAACCCCCCCCCCCAGCAAAATAGATGAGCCATTAAGTTATTTCTTTTTTTTTAAAAGAATAAAAACCAAATTATCAGAATCAAAATGGAAAAACTCAATAATTTAAAAAGAAGTAAAGAATAATATTAGAATAATTTTATCTACCTCTTTGACAGTAAAACCAACAACTTAAATAATTGAATATTTATAAAACACAAAATACCCACCAAGATTAACAGAACAAGAAATTGGAAATTAGATGTCCCAATTTTCAGAGGAAGAAATTAAACCACAAAGACTCCTTCCACTTCTCCCCCCCACCCCATTTGATTCACAGTAAAATTCAGTAAAACATTCAAGTTATAATTGTGATTTTATTTATTTATAAACTTTTGCAAAAATAGCAGAATAAGAGATCTTACTAAGTTCATTCTATGATGCAATTATAGTCTTGATACCTAAAGCAGGGAGAGTCAAAACAGAAAACTATAAACTAGTATTTCTTATGAACATTGATGCAAAATTTTAAATCTAAAACTATAAATATGAGAGAGATTATTCACTATGACCAGGCTGCACACAATTCATTATTTATTTATTGTTAGCATTCATTTTTCTAAAATTCTGAGTTCCAAATTATCTCCCTCCATCCAGCTTTTCCTATACCCATTGAGAAGGCAAGCAAAACCTGATTAGTTTGGATATAAACCAACCTATCTTCCTCTTTGCTTTCCTCCTCTCTTCTTTCATCTTCTCCCCTACCTCCCCTCCTCTCCCTTCAAATGAGGTAATACACATAAAGCACTTCGCAAAGCTTAAAATGTGATGTAAATGCTAACTATTACTTTGCTAGCTAATATCTCCCTGATTATCAAGCATAATGTTCTGCATATAGGTGTTTAATAAGTTTGTTGAATTTAATTTTGACAGGTTGGATCTAATAAGATGAAATTTAATAAGCATAACTATAAAATCCTACTCATGGCAGCCAATTATACAGTTCATATAATGGGGAACACATACCTAGCTCATGTGAAAAGGATCTCAGGGTTTTAGTGATTTGTAAGCTTGATTAAGTCAGCTGTTTGTCATCAGGGCCAAACCAAATTATTGTAATCAGCCTTCATTAATGGCTTCACAATGCTCAGAATAATGGCATTTTTGTGTATTCTACCTTGTTGGAACCACGCTAGCAATGTTATGTTCTGCTTTTCTTTGAATATTGTCATGGACAAGGTGATGTGCGTTCAGATGAGGGTAAACAGGATGGTAAAGTCACTTTGAAACCATCCCATGTAAATACTGATTGATGGAACTGGTCACTTTTCATCTGTAAATGAGAAAATTTGTGTGGTAAAGTTAGTTTTCTTTAAGTATTTGAAATTCTGCCTTGTGGAATAGAGATTAAACTTGTTTCTACCAGGAGTGTTAGGTAGAAGATGCAGAGAGATGTAATAAGATTTGATGTAAGTAAAAGCTTCAAATAATTTGAACTACCTCCAAATGAAATTGGCTGCCCTGCAGTAGGTTCCTAGTTCACTAGAGGTATTTGTGCAGAGTCTGAATGACTACTTTTCAGTGATATGATAGAAGATACCATGCCTTTTCAGTTTTGAGTTTGATGAACTGAATTTAGACCTGTCTTCTAACTGAAATTTTTCAAATTGGGTAATTTGTCACAGATTTGCCATTTTGACGTTAGCATTTTCCCCTGCAAACACAGGAGTGCCATCTAGTGGCCCCAGAAAGTAACAGATTGTTATAGAATGATCCTGTTAGGAATATGAAAAAACATTTCCTCCTTTTTAGCAACACATTGTGGAACATTGAACCTTGCTTTTATTGCCTTTTTGACGTCTCTCTTATTTTTTACTTGGCTTTCATCTCCTGTGGTTTTAATTTTCCTTGTGGTTATCTTTTATCTCCCCGTCAACTGTATTCTCTTTGAGGGTGTGTTCTTTGTATCAATTACAATGCCCAACACAGTACTTTGTATCTAGTAAGGACTTGTTAAATATTGGTTGATGAATATAGCTTTTCCTTCATATTGCCCCTACTTTGAAGATACAATGAAAATTTTTACAACGCTTTTGTTTTACGTGCGTAATATTTATTATCAATAGCTTTTGGTCTTTGTCTTAGGCTGATTGACAAGTAAAAATTTTATGTGATGTTACACATCATGAATTTAACAGATATTTGGGACATCTTTTGTAGGCGATAGGGGATGACAAAGATAATGTAGAGCCTCTTTTCTTTAGTGTATTGGGTCTATTTTTCCATGAACTTTATGTAAAATCATTACAATTCTGTTTTGGGTTTATACTGTATTTATAACAGTATAGTCAAAATTTGTATATTAAACTTTTAAAATAATTTGTTAATTCCTTGAAATTTTACTTAATAATTTGTAGTTCAAAACAGTACTGCCTAGTGAAATAGGAGGTTTTTAGTGAAAACAGGGGCCTGTAACCATAATGCCAGGATTGTTTTTAACAGTTTTATTCTATATTAGATTTGGTTTTTGTTCAGGACGTCTTTTTTAAAAATTACATTCTAATGTAATATTTAAGAATAAACTTGAATAGTTTTGATTAGTTAAAAGCTGAATTTTAAGTACTGCTTTGGCAGTCAGTTTACCCAGTGCTTTAATATTTCACATAAGATTTTTATTGCAAGGTTAGCTGTTCAAGGATGTGTCAGGACTGGTATGTCAGGAAAGCTGTTTAATATAAATGGGTTCTATGGCCTGAAGGCATTTAAAACCATTGTATTTAACATATGTGACATGTCTGAGTTAGCTAGTGATTGAATTAAAGTTCATGATTGACACAGGATGCTAAATCTTGACAATGCACAGGGCTGAGAAAATAAAATACTTCTAGAATGTCAATTTTTAATAACTTTTTTGTGGGAGAGGAGATGTGGGGTGATTTCCAATGGATGCTGTTTCTCGGTTTGCTTAAGAAGGACTTTTAAAAAAAATTCTTGGTTCATTAAATGTAATGAGAATTTGTTTCATATTTGTGGGCTTTTTTTGGTTTTGAATATTACAAAAGTAAAACTTTTACCTCTCTTTTCTAACTTTTTTTTCAGACCTATGAAACATTTTTTTATTTGACTTTTTTTGTTAGATATTACATTACACAGCTTAGGCTCTTGTATAGAGATGGAATTTCTAAGTTTCTTTGTCTTGTTGGACTATTGTGATTTGATGGTTTTGTATAAGCATGTTCAAAATATCCACTTGAATTCACCAGGGGGAGAAGTTGATTATAGTAAAGCTCTATATTTTTGGAGAAGATCAGAATGAATTAAGGAATACTATGAATATAGACTAGTTTAAAGAAGTCCTTGTTTAATATTTTCAGATACTCGTAACTTTTTTTATAATAACTTTAAGTATGCTAACAAAATGCTTGCGTACTAGAAGTTGTTAATGGACCTGTTTAAATCAACAGCGACACATGTTTTGTAAAGATCATGTGAAATGTTTTAAGTAAATGCATGCTTTAGGCAAGTTTAAGAATAAGAACATATTCCAAAATTTAAACATTCCTTTTGGAGGTTTTTTTTTTAATGTTTTTATTTTCTTAGCAAATATTTTTTTTCATGGCTTAGGAAAAGTTAAGTTTCATTTTAGACCCTGTCATGTGATAATAAATTTGGATTTTGTTATAATTCTATAGGAGAGGGACCTAGATAAAAAACATTTTATTTAATAATTTATTCAGTAATTTCAGTCTCTGTACATGTGACTTTATCATAAGCCAACTATTAAATATAACAAAAGTGCTAACTGTAAGAACTGTGGTATGACTTTAGTCATCAGTTCATTTAATAATGCTTATTGATTGATTACTGAGATACATTTTAGGAAAAAGGAGTAGAACTTAGTTAACTATTTTCCAAATGAGTGGCCTGCTTTGTGGCAGAATGTCAGACAGATAATCTTTCATAAATGTTGACTTAATAAGTTTATCCTTTATATATTTTGTATGTCATCTGTCTTTGCCATTTATGTTTGCACTCAGATTCTGGCCATTAACCGAGGGGAAAATTTGAAGATCCTGACAGTGAAGGTCAACATTCCTGATAGTGTGAAGAATGAATTCTGTAGTTGGTGTGTCCAGAACAGGTCTGTCTGTTGATTTTTATAACATTCTCTTTATCCTTTTTAGCACCATCCTGTAAAATACCTTCAGGGTCTTAATTCTTTAAGGTGTTGTTTGAACCAAAACTTTAATTTAAAACTATGTGACATAAATGTCTGAATGACTCAGTGTAGTTTTTTTCTTTAAATTTTGTAATGAAGATGATCTTTTGACTTCATAGATACGTTTTGGTCATTTTTCTTTGAGGAAAAACTTCTAAACTAGTGATAGTATTACTTTATATTTGTGTATGTTTGTATGGGGCATTAAAATTTTAAGTTATATACATCGGGGGAGGTAAGTTTACACTGTTCATTAAATTATACTTGTGTGAGATAGTAAATAAATGTTTATTAAATGCTACTGTGGGCCAGGCAGTGTGCTAATAAGCTTTGGAGATTCAAAAAGAAAGTGGGATGCAGAACATTGTTGTGATTGGTTGGGAAATAAATGATTTTTATCAGAGTATACAACAGATTACCTGGACAGGAATGAAGATGAGGGATTTGGGAAACTGATCTTAAATTTGATACAGAAGTGTGAGAGAGTAGTGATTGGGGATTTCAGTCATCTGGATAATGATTTCCATTCAGCAAGCATTTATGAAGCACCAGCTATGTGTTAGGTGCTGACCTAGGTGCTAGGGATAGAACAGCTAAAATAAAATAATCCCTGCCGTTAAGAAGGAAGGTAGTCTAACAGTCCAAGGTGCAAGGTGGTCAGCCTGATGGGTAGTTATTTTGTGAGTGGAGAGAAGGAAAGTGAGAGTCAGAATTGATAGGTCTGGGCAACTGATTGGATATAGGGGTAAAGGAAAATAAAGAGTATAGGATAATTGCTATTTTGTGAACCGGAGAGACTGGAAGGATAGTGATTTTCTTGAAAGAAAGTGTGGCATTAGGAAGAGGGGTAGTTCTGGAGGAACGATTAGAGGTTTTGTTTTGGACGTTTTTGAGTTTGGTATGTTTGCAGGTGGTAATGTGGGACTGAAACTCAGAATAATGAGAGCTGGCTGTGTAAATTTAGGAGTCATCTATAACTAAATGACAGTTGAAATCCAAGACTTGGTGGTCAGCTCATGTTGCTCCCCTGCCTGATAGATTCTAGTGCCTCCGACTTACCTGTGGCATCAAGCACAGTTTTTTCTGTTTGGCCTTTAACCTTCTCGCAGTGTGGCTGTGGTCTGCCTTTTGGGCACTCTTTGCAATCCAGGCAGGACTGGCTTTCTTGATGTTCCTCACATGTAGCGTTCTGTCTCCTATCTCCAGGCCTGTGCACAAACTAGCTCATGCCTAAAAGAGGCATGCTAATGGTGGAGATGAGGTGCAGTGGATAGGAAATCAGGAGTCAAGAAGACCTGAGTTCAAATTCTACCTCAGACTCTTATGATGTGTGTGACTCTGGACAGGTCACTTAACTTTTCTCAGTCTTATCAAAAACTCAGTTTCCTCATCTATAAAACGGGAAGGATTATAGCACCTTCTTCACTGTGAGTGTTGTGAGACTCCAGTGAGGTGACATATGCGAAACACTTTATTAACTTTTAAGTAGGGCATATAGGTAGATAGTGTTCTAGGCCTAAAGTCAGGAAACTCATCTTCCTGAGTTCAGATCTGTTCTCATACACTTAACTCATTGTGTGACCCATAGCAAGTCACTTTCACCCTGGTTGCCTCAGTTCCTCATCTTCAAAATGAACTGGAGAAGGAAATGGCAAACCACTCTAGTACCTTTGCCAAGAAAACCCCAAGTGGGGTCATGCAGAGTTGAACACAGCTGAGAATAACTGAACAACAATAACAAACTTTTAAGTGCTGTATTAATAGTAATAGTACTAATTCTGTTAACAGTAATAATTCCCACATCATTTCTACATCTTCGAGAGTGGTGTTGTTATTAGAAAGATTGTAAGAGTTTAAACGATAAGTGGGAAGGAGGATAAGAAAGCGGAGGCAGTAATCATAGGCAGGTGTTTTTAGGAGTTTGGGTTTAAAGACAAAAATCATGTAGAAAGATAGCTTGTGAGAATAGTAGTATCAAGAGAAGATTTTTTAAGACTGGGAGATCATATTGGTGGGTGACAGGGAAGGAGTAATTGGATAAAGAGATTAAAAATTAGAGTAAGAGTGGGGAATGATCAAAGGGATAGCTCCCAGGAGGGATTGGAGAAAGTACAAAGATCTAGAACCAGAGAGGACCATAGAGACAGACTTGTCCAAAACTTTTATTTTACAGATGAGGAAACTGAGGCCAGAGGAAGTCAAGTGACTTTCCCAAGGTGACACAGGTTGTAATTGTTAGAGGTATGATTTGAACTGAGTTCCTGTGTTCCTGTAGCCCTTACTTTACTCCTTTGGTACTGGTAGAGATGCTAATTTTGCTAAGTAGAAGGAGCAGCTCTTCCTGTGAATCTGAAGCAGTACACAGTAGGAAAAGAATGTGAATCCATATTTGGCATTTAGAAAGGGATAAGCTGTGATAGAACAAAGGGCAAAAAGAATTCAAGGGTGAGCAAGATTCCTAAGGGAAGAATTCATGACTAGCACAGGACAAGTGTCATAACGGGGAGAGGATAAATGGCATTATCAGGACCTCTGCTGAAGTTATTACAGATAATTTCTTGATTTGCCTTAATAATAATTTCTTTCCTCAAAATTTGAAGGAAGCTACATGGAAATTCTGTTCTGGATCTGTTTCTCACCACGAGGCAGGACTTGGTGGAAATGATACCAGTTCATACTAGAACTAGTTGATAAAGAAAGACCTGAAAGACAGAAACATCAGGTCTCTCTGTTTGGAGAGAATAAATTTTAAAAGCTGAAGAATGAATTAAAATTCTACAATGGAAGTCTTATCAGGAGAAGCTACTATAAGAAGTTAAAAGGTCGAAATTCTGACAATAAAAAGAGAACCTGATTTTGAGGAAGAAAAATGGGAATTGTCTGAAGAAACCCATGTGAATGCAAGGAGAAGTTCCCAACCAACATAGTTTTTTCAAAGCTGTGTAGTTGACTTCTGGCTAAGATAGCTTCCCACATGCCTGCTTGTTACAAGAACCTAAAAATTACATCAGATTGAAAAACGATTAAGAAACGCACTGAGATGAGGCATCTAAGTGGCACAGTGTATAAAGCTCTGGCCTTGGAGTCAGGAGGACCTGAGTTCAAATTTGGTCTCAGACACTTGACACTTACTAGCTGTGTGACCCTGGGCAAGTCACTTAGCCCTGATTGCCTCACCAAAAAGCAGAAAAGAAAGAAAGAAAGAAAGAAAGAAATACACTGAGAAAGTGATTTCTTCCAACCCAGGAGTCAGTAGGAAAAGGAGCCTGCCAGCCAAGCGAGTGCAGCCAAATAATCTGGAATCCTCCCAGCGCCACCAGAACCAGATGAGAACCGTGTATAACCCGTAAGGTTCTGTATCTGGAAGGAGTAAGAACAGTGGGCTCCCCTGAAAAAGCACCAGGGTGGTCAGAAGCCTGCATCATGGATCTTGGAAAGGGCTGGAAGCAGAAAGGACTTTGTGCAGCCATACTCTTTTCAGGACACTTCAAGGCCCCAAGGTCTCAAGCCCTCTGTTATGAGATGCTGTGGTGGACTCAGAAGATCTAGAACTCAGCCTCCAAGATCTGGGAGGAAGGGCTCTAAGCATGGAATGGGGAGGACAGTCCAGGAGCCCAGTTTAATATCAAGAACTGAGTATCCTGTCTAAAAGTCCAGCATGGTGTTGAGCCTGGCATTTCAAGAATGTAAATAAATTGAATTGATTACTGTGTGTTGGGCATAGTAATTGCTTCTGGAAATAGTGTGTCAGTCATCTGCTCTGTGGCTTCACCCTTGTAACTCTTCATATCATCATGTCTCTTCCTGCATATCTCTGACACTTAACATAGTGTTTACCACATAGCAAGTGATTAATAAATACTTTTTTGCTTGGGGGAAAAAAAAAGGATGTACAAAAGGTGAATGAAGGGGCATGGAAAAAGGATAAATATAATAGAATCATGATATGATAAAATAAGAGTAGTGTCAGAAGTGCGCAAGCTTAGATTGAGCTGAGGGGAAAGTTATTGACAACCAGGTTTCTTTTTTTTTCTTTAAATTGGGAAAAAGAAGAGGATCAAAGAAAACCTAGGACTGCTGCTCAGGGCGGCTGAGCTCCTTCTTTCTTATTTTGCTCTTGTGTTTATTTACCTACTAAGATGTGTAAGGATGTAGGTAATTTTATTAAAGTTAGTTGGAATAGAATGACTACATACTTGGGTACTGAAATAACTGGTAGATAAGATAGCTGTCACTTTCAGTGATATTTGAAAGGTCATGGGAAACAGGAGAATTCATGTAAGATATGACAAAGTCAAATGTCACAGTTTTTAGGAAAATCTGCTTATCGAGACCTCCAATCTCACATCTCCAGCTTTCTCTTAGACATCTCAAACTGGATATCCCATAGTCTTGTTAAATTCATAGGAAACCAAATTCATTATATTCCCCCTAAAACCTCTCCTACCCCCAAAAAGCTTCTCTGTTACTGTTAAGGACATCATCTTCTTCCCAGTTTCCCCAGACTTGAAACCTACACATCATCCTTGACTCCTTCCTGTCTTTCATTCCTGTATCCAATCTACATTTGTCCGATTCACCTTTGCAGCATCTCTTGTTATTTGCCCCTTTTTCTTCTGACACTGCTACTACTGAGATGCAAGCCCCTATCACCTTACTCTGGACTAATTGCGACAGCCTGATGGTAGGTCTCCCCATCTTAAGTCTCTTACCACTCCAGTCCATCCTCCATTCATCTGTCAGTTGATCTTAAAGTACAAGTCTTACATGTCACACCTTCCTCCTCCTCCATTTGAGAAACTCTAGTAGATTCTTGTCACCTCCAGAATCAAATATAAAATCTTCTCTTTGTCATTTAAAACCCTTCATAAACTGGCCTCCTCCTACCTTTCCGTTCTTCTTACATCTCTCTCTGAAGTACT